GTGTGTGTGTGTGTGTGTGTGTGTGTTGGGGTGGGGGGACAGCAATTAATGATAAAAAAGTAAAAGAGTGAGAGAAATAGGCAGGTTGAGAAGAGTGTAGGGGGCCAGCCCCGTGGCGTAGTGGTTAAGTTCATGCACTCTGCTTTGGCAGCCTGGGGTTCACAATTTCAGATTCCAGGTGTGGACATACAAACCACTTGTCAGCCATGCTGTGCTGGCGTCCCATATTCAAAATAGAGGAATATTGGCACAGGTGTTAGCTCAGACAGTCTTCCTCAAGCAAAAATAGGAGGATTGGCAACAGATGTTAGCTCAGGGCCAATCTTTCTCACCAAGAAAAAAAAGAATAGTGTCAGGGAAGGCAAAAGTCAGTTTTGTTAACTATGTCAGATGATGCAGGGAAATCCAATTGCAAAAAAGACCAAGAAGGAATTTGATTTGAAAATTAGGTGATTGGAGGACAGCTGTGGCACCTAGACATGAACACTTGTAGGGTTAAGGGATTGAGGGTGAGCAACAAATGAGGAAGTAGAAATAGGGCTGCTGATTTCCCACAGGAATCTGAGAGGTGAAGGGAAGAAAAGAGTACAGGTGGGTAGCTGGAGGTGAAGGAAGCTGGGTGAAGGGAGTGGTTTTTAGGCAACTTGCATGTTGTAGCGTTAAGAGGAAGGATTTAGGCGTGAGGGAAGCCCTGAAGATTTGGGGGACTAGGGGGATGGGTAGGGCCAGGACTTGGAGGGGACAGGATTCTTTTTTTTTATTTTTATTTTTATTTCTTTAATTTATTATAGAATTGGAATCACTAGGTTAAAGAGACAGGTTTTTTTTTTTTTGGTGAGGAAGATTAGCCCTGAGCTAACATCCGTTGCCAATCCTCCTCTTTTTGCTGAGGAAGGTTGGCCCTGGGGTAACATCTGTGCCCATCTTCCTCCACTTTATATAGGACACCTGTCACAGCATGGCTTGACAAGCGGTGTGTAAGTCCGCTCCTGGGATCCAAACCTGCGGACCCCGGGCCACTGAAGCAGAGTGCGTGAACTTAACCACTACGCCACTGGGCTGGACACTTGGGACAGGATTCTTGAGGTGGTGGGACCTGCCTTCTTCTGAGATACGGCAAGGAGGAGGGGAGAAGTTGATGGAAGGGAGGGAAGCCGAGGGGTTTTGCCTGAGAGACTTGTTTTACAGGATGGAGGAAGCCAGGCTTCTGTTGGAAATGAGGGTGGAGGAGTGAGTTAGGGACCTGTGGAAAGAAAGTGAAGACATTTTGGTCCTGTTCCTCTGGGGTATGGGCATTGGGAGGTTTGCCTGGCAGCCAGGTATGGATAGTGATGCTGATTTGCAGATTTAAGGGAAGGAGAGCTGAGAAGCCTGGCAAGGGGATGCCCATGGCTGGGGATTGGCATGGCAGTGTCTACGGCAGGGCAGGGGCACTAGGGTGCTGCAAGGTGAAATGGGTGGGAGGGAGTATGTGTTGTCCAAAGGTGGGAGTCAGAAAGGGAGGTGCCAGAGTTCAGGGTCACAGAGGCTCAAGACCTGACTCCTGAGTGAGTGTGGGGATGAGTACCAGCAGTGAGAGTTTCTTCCTGTCTTCTTCTGGAGCCCCAAAACCTCTGGGCGTGAGCTTCTGGCAGTGTGACAGGTGCCTGGCTCTTCTGATTTGTATTCCACATCTGTTTAAATGATCACTGAACAAAGCAGAACAGTTTTGTCTCCCACCAAAACGTAGAGAATCTCAATCCTTCGGGAGACATGAGCTTTCCCTTCACTTTTATGATCCTGATTTTGAAGAAACGCCCTTTTCCTTTCTTTCCTGAGTCTGTTTGAATATCTCCAGAGCTGAGGAGCTCACCCCTTTCGTTTCCTCACAGTGTAACCCATGTCTGTTAGGGGTTTTAGACTTTCCTTTCCTGTGTCGATCTCGAATGTTCCTCCCTGTGCTTCTGTTCACTGGGCACACTTTTGTCCTTGGACATTTCCTGGGAGCCCCTCCCTGTCTGTCATTTGCATGAGATGAGGTGTGTGGTTCTTTGAGGGGATGGACGGGAGCTGAGACTAGTAGGTGAGGAAAGTGTCCAGGTGTCCACATCCTAGGCTGTTGTCTTCTCTCTGGCTCCCTGAGTGCCTCACCCTTTCTAGACCCCAAACATCTCCAAGGTCCCTGGGAAGAGCGGCTGATTGAGGGTGGCTCACTCAGGACCCTGCTTGCCATGCTTGGGTGGGGAGTACAGCACTACATGTCCCAAAAGCCATTATTTGTTTTTGATAGTAGGGTGACAGGCCAAGTGTCACCTATTAGGTGTGCGATGAAAGTCCTTCCTCCATGACTAGGGCCTACAAGTCCAGGACTGATGAGTGTCCTCTGATTCCTCCATAGGAGCTGATCGACCTCAAGATGCTTCAGTGTAAGAGAGTTGTCAATGGTGAGTGCAGCTGTGGTCCCAGGATTGTGTGTGTGCCTAGTCATGCCCAAGCACTACCAATGCCCTTGCCCAGGGTGACAGTGTCCTTCCAGGGTGCTTCTTGCCTGGCTGTGTGATTTTGTGGATCACATGCTCCCTTGAGAACAGTCACTGCTTTCCAGATGTGAAACAGGCTAAGAATGCCTTCCACCCACAGGCTTGCTGGCATAGACATTGCCAGGTTTCATAGTACAGGAGGGACCCTAGAAGTCTTGGGGTCGGGATGGCGCCAGCACTGGTCCTGGCTGTGCCACTCCCTAGCTGTGTGAACCTTGGGCAAGTCACATGACCTCTCTGCCTCAGTTTCTTTAGCCATAAAATGAAAATCATAATCCCTGCTTTACTTCAATCATAGGGTTGGAGTGAGGATCAAATAAGATAAGGTGCATGTAAGTACTTTGCAGATGGGAGTGGTTATGCTGAATTGTGGTTTTGCTTATACTTTATTGATGAGGCTGATTCTGCTTTGATTAGAGTTGTGGTGGTATTTGAGGTTTTTGAAATGTATATACATTTGTAAAATCTCTCAATATAAGTTTGCTAGTTAGTGTAACACAATTTTTTTTTTTGTGAGGAAGATCAGCCCTGAGCTAACATCCATGCCAATCCTCCTCTTTTTTTTTTTTTTGCTGAGGAAGACTGGCCCTGGGCTAACATCCGTGCCTATCTTCCTCCACTTTATATAGGACGCTGCCACAGCATGGCCTCACAAGCTGTGCATCTATGTGCGCCTGGGATCCGAGCCCGGGCCACCAGCAACAGAGCGTGCGTACTTAACAGCTACGCCATGGGGCCGGCCCCATAGAAAGTGTAACTCAATTTTGTCTTCAATTGTTTTAGACTTATATTTTCTTCTTTGTTTTGAAAAATTCAATATTACAGACCTATATAACCTAGAAAATGAAATCCCCCATAATCCCATACTTGAAGAGATAATCACAAAGAGGAATGATGTATATTTTTTTACACATTTAGTAAAGTGTGTGTATAAAAATATGAAGTATTTATATATCTCCCTTCCTGCCCCCTTGGGATCAAGCTACACATTTTGTCACTTACCTTTCCACTCGGACATTTTCCCATGTCAGTACTTAGAGATGACTGCGTCAGAATTGATTTCACCAGTGCTTTAACGGGAGTTTCAGTATTTTGCTGTTATAAATAAACCTGTGGTATAAATACACTGAGTTTTTGTGGTTCTTCTCTCAGACATCTTACTGCCAGTCATGAGCTGTCTCTGCTGTTGGTGATCATTTTGATTATCTCTCCCAACATGTCACTGCCTTTACCCCACCTTTTTAATCTTCTAATCTGTTCGGTGCTGGGATGATAATAACAGCTTCTATTTATGGAAATGCTTTACTTGCATTAAAGATCTCATTTATTTCTCAAAAGAAATGCATGAGGTAGGCATATTCTCCCATCTGCCATGTTGGATCTCTTTCATGTGATAGTTATCTTTCAAAGCTAAAAATGGTAGTACCTATTATAGAGCTTCATTATGAAGAGCACATGAGATTCTTGTTATTTGCAGTAGTTATGTTCTGTAAACTTGCTGTGAACACCAAATTAACAAATACTGAACCATTTCTCCTGGTGGAAATACAAGATTGGGTTCCTGCAAGCCCCTAGTCACAACATTTTCATTAACAGATCAGTATATAACCTTGTTTTATGTGTGTTTCTGTTTAAAGACATGTAATTTAATACATTCTGTTGATTCATTAACATTGAACTCACAGCCAATAGCACTATCATTTCATGTCTGACCAAAGCTTGTCTAATACATGTATTTTCTCCATAAGGCATATCACAGCCTTCTTGTGCTTAGGGACACTAGATAGCACTACAGCACTATGCTTGGGGCCATTTTATTATTTTCCTTTTTTTTTTTTTAATTTTATTTATTTATTTATTTATTTTTTTGTGAGGAAGATCAGCCCTGTGCTAACATCTGCCAATTTTCCTCTTTTTTTGCTGAGGAAGACTGGCCCTGGGCTAACATCTGTGCCCATCTTCCTCCACTTTATATGGGACGCTGCCACAGCATGGCTTGCCAAGTGGTGCATCGGTTTGAGCCCGGGATCTGAACCAGCGAACCCCGGGCCGCCGCAGCGGAGCGCGCGCACTTAACCACTTGCGCCACCGGGCCGGCCTGGGGCCATTTTAAACAGTGAGATCACCAAGAGAAAGCACAAAAATGCAAAAAATGTGGCATTAAATATACTACCATAAGGACACTGGTTTACGGTATGAGAGCTGAAACCAGAAGGCAGAGCGTTGCTTTGTTTGACCTCAGCTGGGAACATGTGCATCGAGTAACAGAAATTTTTTGCAATTCTGTGCATGTCTGTGAATGACCACGAAAATGTCACCAGTATTGATTTGGGGGTTACAAATAAATTTTAGTAAGCGGGCAAATTTGCAAATACACAACTGCAGGTAATGAGGATTGACTGTAATGTAGTAAATCTCTGCTCACGAGACCTGGTGCATGATGAGTAATTAAGAAACTGCAACTTTGCTGAACTTGAGAGTGACATCTTCTGGGAAAATTTGGGCAAAATCTGAAACACAGGTATGATTCCTTGTATGTACGTTTTTTCCCAACGTTTTAAAAATTGAGAAATGTAAACACCATACAGGGAAAATGCATAAAACGCAAGCCTGCAGTTTAACAAATAACTGTAAAGTGAACAACCATGAACTAACCATCGCCAGGTTAGGAAACAGACCATCATCAGCACCTCAGAAGCCTCCCATGTGTGCACTGATTTCTTTTAAGAGTGGTATACCTTGAGCGTCTCTTTTTGCCCTTCAAGGTAATATTTTTGCTGTGTTTTCTTGCAGCAATTAGGCTAGGTTGAACTTGCTTCTTCATTGGGTGACCCCATGTGTTTGTATTTTCTTGCAGACGTGCTCAGCACAGTGGACTTTGTTGCCCCTGATGACCGAGTAGTCTTCCGCACCTGCGAAAGAGAACAGAGCAGGGTTATCTTCCAGATGGTATGAGATCCCAGGGCTGAGTGCCCTCCCAAGGCGTACCCATTCCCTGGATTTTCAATCTCAGGTCCTGTGCCAGGCCAGTGTTAAATGGCCTGGGGTCCATTGCACAATGATGGCTTCCTGAAGACCTCTGCTTTAATATTTTCCGAAGATCTGCTCATGAGTGATGACATTGTTGGAGACAGTCTATGGATATCAAGCTATAGCAATCTGTTACATGCCTCCATGCTCAAATTTAATTTCCGTAATTACAGGAATTGTCTGTTTGGCATGACTTATACATTTTTAATCCCTAGCATTGGTTATTCAGATCATAGTCTTTATTTTTGTGTAGTCTGCATATATTTCCTATAGAAAGAAATTAGGTTTCCTCTAAAATGGTTAAGATTTATGTTAGGATTGTAATGACTCTGTAGCTCTCTTCTCTCACTTTGGTCATTTCTTGGTGCTTTTTCCGAAATAGTTTATGAGTGATGTTTAGGTTTTTTGTTTTTCTTTCCTTTATTGTGAAATTTTTGTTATACAATATTGTTTGTCAGTCACCATATAAATTAGGTTTTTAAAAAATTGATAACAATGGGTAGACATATGATAGAGCAAGTATAACAAAATATTAATTGTAGAATCTAAATGGTGGATATATGAAAGTTCACTATAAAATTTGTTTATACTTTTTTGTATGTTTGAAAGGAATCTTAGCATTGATGACATTTTCTAGGCCCACCAGGTCCACTTTTTGCTTCCGACAGTGAGCTAGTCCAGTGGGCTGGCTATTTAAGAGAATACCAGCCAGACTCCACTTGCTGGCATGTGTGTGTACATAGTGTGTAAAGATGTGTTTGTCTGTGCATGTGTACCTGTGTCAGGGCAGTGGTTGATGCAGCCTCTTGTGTTCCCAGGGGACTTCAGACGCAGAGCGAGCCCTTGCTGTGGCCAGGCTTGTGTAAGTTCTTCCCTTTTTGGGACTGCCTTCACCTCTTCTGTGGGCTGTGAGGCCTGGTGACCTTGAAGGTGACCACCCTGTGCCTCCTAGTTCACTACCTTCACTTCCTGGGTTAAGAGTGTCTGGTTTCCTTCTCTATTTGTGGCGTCTGAGGGCTGGCCTGGGACTCGTGTGTACCCACTGTGTTCAGATCCCAGGTAACCTGTGCGTGGGAGCCTGCTTTTTAGAGTTTATTCATGAGGCTCTCTTTCCAGGGACTCTCCTATGAACCCTGAGGTTGTAAATCTCATGAAGTGTAGGTAAGATGTACTGCTTTCTAAATTAACGAAAGCAGGAGAGCACTGTGGTTAAGGAGATGGGCTTTGTGGGCCAGCCCCGTGGCTTAGCGGTTAAGTGTGTGCACTTCGCTGCTGGCGGCCCAGGTTCGGATCCCGGGCACGCACCGACGCGCCGCTTCTCCGGCCATGCTGAGGCCGCGTCCCACATACAGCAACTAGAAGGAGGTGCAGCTATGACATACAACTATCTACTGGAGCTTTGGGGGAAAATAAATAAATAAATAAAATTAAAAAAAAAAAAAAAAAGGAGATGGGCTTTGAATTAGACAGACCTGGGTTGGAATTCTGGCTTTGCTAGTTGCTAACTGTGTGACCTTAGGTAAGTTACTTAACCTCGCTGAGAACTTAGTTTCCTCATCTATAAAATGAGACACATAGTACTACCTCCCTCTGGCATTATACGGAAGGGTAAATGAAATAATGCATGTAAATGTCTTTGCAGTATGTGGCACGTAGTGAGTGCTTAGTAAGTGTTAGCTGTGGTTATTAATTATAATGAGAGTGAGAGGGAACTCACGCAGTAGTTGCTGCTGATCACAGACTGTTAACTGTGTGCATTCCAGAAGGTAAGGTAAGGGTCCTTTCTATATCTGAGAATTGTTTGGAGTAAGCCAACAGGCAGCCCAGCAAACAAAGGCAGTCCTGTAACTTCCATCAGAACCAGTGCTCTGGGAAAGAGCTCTTATGCTCATGTCCCTTTTCTGCAATGACCAATGGCTTTCAGTACCCCAGTCAGAACTGGAGCTCTGGGATGGAGTTCAGCGTGGCTGTCACCCACTATTTGAGTTATCCGATACAATTCCAAACTAGCAAAGTCTTCTACAACTAGCCCCTTACGCGTGTGTGAGCACATCATGTTCTTCCTGTTGAGTTCTGCTCAGGGAAGGCAGTGGCACATTTTATAGAGAATTTTCACTTTCGGTCGCTGAGGGTTGGTGTGTTTCACAGGGCTGGGGTTCATGAGCACAGACCCATGCCTTTGTCTCTATGTTCTACCCTCGAGTTGAATATTTATTATCTTTTCTTCTTCATGTTTCTGCAGAGAAAATGATGTGGCTGGTATTGACGTCAACATGGGCTGTCCAAAAGAGTATTCCACCAAGGTAAACTGACTTTTTATACTCTTCACAAATATAGGGTGCAGATTAAAGGAGACTAATGAGACATGGCAACTAACTATAATACCTGACTTGACTAGATTCTGTACTAGATGGGGAAAATGCTCAAAAGGATATTATTAGATCAACTGGCAAAATTGAAATATAGACCATGGTAGATTAGCTAAAAATATTGTATCCATGTAAATTTATGAATTTGATAACTCTTCTGTGGTTATGTAAGAATATTCCTGTCTTAGAAAATACACACTGAAGAATGCATCTTCCAAGTAGCTTTTTTTTTTAATAATTTTATTTATTTATTCATTTTTCCCCCGAAGCCCCAGTAGATAGTTGTATGTCATAGCTGCACATCCTTCTAGTTGCTGCATGTGGGACGTGGCCTCAGCATGGCTGGACAAGCGGTGCGTCTGTACGCACCCGGGATCCGAACCCAGTCCGCCAGCAGCGGAGCGCGCGCACCCAACCGTTAAGCCACGGGGCCTGCCCCCAAGTAGCTTGTTAGAACCTTCTTTATAAGAATTTCCTTAAACAGTTCACTATGTGCATTACAGAGTGGGTATTGCTTAATTTCACTGAAAAAAAGAAACCAGCCTGAAATATTTATCGGTCAAGGGCTATGATATATGTAACTTACCCTCAAATGGTTCAGGAAAAATTTTATGTGCACACACACACATATACATATATACATATACATAACACACATAGATAAATGCACACATACACACACACAGAGAACTTGTGCCTAAGTAATAAAACAAATTATGTAAATCCTAAAAGAAAAAATAATGTGAATAGGGCTTTGTCATTTCATGAATAAAACCAAGACATACATTAAAAAAAAAAATAGAAGATGCAATACATGTGTCCCCATTGTCATATCAGACGAGATCAGACCAGAGTGCTATGGTAACTAAGAGAAAGGAGTGGAAAGGCAGCCCTTAAACTCGGGATCCTATAGGGAAAGTGTGGTCCTTGATGAGGAGGTTTGGGACCCTACAGGCAGAGGGAGTGGCACAAGCAGGGGCTTGGAGGCCAACATGAAGTACAGGCAGAGAACCTCGATTTGACCAGAGGGTTGGGGAGTGGGAGACAAAGAGGAAGCAGAAGAGCACAGGGTTGAAAATCTTGGTTGGGACCAGATTAGCTGGACTTGGACTTTAGATATTTCTGACCTTTTTTGAACAGAGAAGGTGTGTGATCAGAAACTTAGTTTCCTTCCTCAGGGAAACCAGTGTTACTAGTTTCTTATCCAAATATATTCTATGAAGAGAAATAGTTAAAAATACTCATCTGGAAGTCATGTGTCTGGTAGATTCAAGTGGAAAGAGGCTAGAGGTGGGGACACAGATAGAAGAGATGAGTGTCCTGGGTCCACAGGAGAGACCAGGGCAGGAGAGAGGAGAAGCCAAACTGGAGCAGAATTTGACAGGATTTGGCAGCAAATGATTAGACTGGGTGTGGGGAGGTGGGGTGAGTGGTGGGGGTGGAGAGAGGAAAGACTGGTAACCAGGAGAATGGTTGATCTTCAACATCATCAGGACTGCTAGAGGAAAAGCAGGTTTGGAGCAGATGACAAATACAACTTGGGGTTGGCTGAGTGTGAGGCACAGAGGGACTCCTGCAGGGCTGCCCCTGGGAACCTTATCGCAGGGAGTGCAGTCACGGTCTTCAGTGTGACTTCAGGTATAGCAGATGTCCTCTTGGGCCTACTGCCCAGCGTCAGCCACTCTGCTCTCAGGAGTATGCTGCCTGGAGACCTTTGCTTTAGGCCAGGAGGCTGAAGACTGCCTGAGGGAAAGGCCCTTGAGATGTTTGAAAACCAGAGGGACTTGTACACAGCTGCTTCAAGGAGTTATGGAGGTTTGAAACTGTCTATGAGGAGTTGAAAACTTCGGACTCTGTTTTGCAGTCTTCTAATTCCTCCTTGGTGCTCCTGAGTTATGTAAGGAGCAGAGTTGAAATTATTGGAATAACCTCCCTGAGATTGTGGAGTGAAAAAAGCAAAGAGCAGAATTCTATATGGTGCACCACCATTTGTATATGGAGGTTGGGGAATGAATAATTATATATTTATTTTTCTCCTCATAGAACATTTTTGGAAAAACACAAAAAACTAGTGTCACTGGTTTCTCCTGGGGAAAGAAACTAAATTTTTGTTTGGTTTTGCATAGGGAATAAATTCCCATTGCAGGGTGCTACTCGAAATAATTAACAATTGGCATAGCACTGGTACCGACCACTCGGAACAGATACTTATCAGTGTACCATACATACATACCACCTGAACATCCACTCTCTTCTTCTTATTCAAAAATTGAAGCCATATGAAAAGTATAAATTGAAAAGTTTTCCATTCCTCAGGGAGGGAGAGTTCTTAGTTTTTATCCTTTTGACCCTTTAAAATTTTTGATGTGTTACCTGGTCAAAAAAGCAAATAAGTTAAATAGAAAGGAAGGAAAGAAGGAAGGAAATACCAATTGAGAAAGCCATTGTTATGGAAGGGGCAGTGAGACTGGATTTTATTTATTTTTTATTTTTTAAATTTTTTTATTATTATTTTTTTTTGTGAGGAAGATCAGCCCTGAGCTAACATCCATGCTAATCCTCCTCTTTTTGCTGAGGAAGACTGGCTCTGAGCTGACATCTATTGCCAATCCTCCTCTGTGGCCCCCCCGCCCAAAGCCCCAGTAGATAGTTGTATGTCATAGTTGCACATCCTTCTAGTTGCTGTATGTGAGATGCAGCCTCAGCATGGCCGGAGAAGCGGTGCCTCGGTGCGCACCTGGGATCCCAACCCAGGCCGCCAGTGGCGGAGCGCGTGCACTTAACCGCTAAGCCACGGGGCCGGCCCGAGACTGAATTTTAGATCCTGTGATTCTATAGGGAAGGCTGGATTGTGTGTGAGGTGGACGGACAGAGTCAGGGTGAGTGGCCAGGGCTTCCTTAAGGCCTCTAAGGTTTCTATCTATGACCAAGGTGGGCCAGGGCTAGTAGCCCCTCCGCCCTTCCCACTGTCTTCCTAAATGCAGGCTCAGGCTGGCCGAGTCTGTGGTGATTCAGTGTTCTCCCTAATTCTAATCTGTCATCCTTATACATGAAATTAAACTGTAATAACTGAATTTAAACCTTCTGAGCATTCTGGTGAACATTCGTTAGTATGCAGTCTGTATACTGACAGCATATATTTATTGGATTTGTTTTTCTCTCCTCCTTATTCTTAATAGGTTCAGATTCTTAACCCCCCCCCAATTATTGAAGTAATTTATACCATTGTTCAGAACTTGGATAATATAGAAAAGTACAAAAAAGAGCAGGAAAATCACCAATGATCCCACCATCAAGAAACAAGTGCTGGGCCGGCCCCGTGGCTTAGCGGTTGGGTGCACGCACTCCGCTGCTGGCGTCCCGGGTTCGGAACCCCAGGCGCGCACCGACGCACCGCTTCTCCAGCCATGCTGAGGCTGCGTCCCACATACAGCAACTAGAAGGATATGCAGCTATGAC